ACCCACACGCTTCTCCTCTTTTGCGAACATTTTAGTATTTGTCCAAGACGAGTGAGTAAGACCATTAAATTTCAGTATAGGAAATTAATTTGTCCTCAAGTCCTCATTCTTAGTGGGTCGATGTTTCATGCGAATGCAAAGTGAAATTAGTGTCACGATTAAGCATTCGCAGTGATATTTAGTCCACTGTGACAAGTTTGCAAATTCCTCACAAACTGATGTAGGCCTAGGAGTCGAGAAAGTACTGGTCCTGGTCAAGATTATAGCAGATAGAGTTACAGCCGTTAAACGAATAATACTCAACAAAAACGTTTATTGTGCAATCCCAAGGAATTGACGAATGTTTAGCAACTGATTATGATGAATCGCAGATTTTGGGGGTACAAAGGGATTTATATTCCAATCAGCACACACTCCTTTGTCACTTGTTTTTTCGGGGGGAGGATAAAATAACTATTTTCAGTCTTGTGTGATCAGCTGGATTTCACATGACGGTGAATTTTTAATTTTTTTTTAGGATAACACTGACACCCTGAGGTAGATTAAACGATGCATGCTCGCACTATTGAGAATTTCAATCTTATTTATTCTCATTTTTTACTGGCCATAATGCTTTGATGATCTGGTCTAATTTTCAACGGCATACAATTTAATGAGTGAATTTATTAGTTTCGCCGATTGTGAGTCAAAGCATAGTTAGGCTCTCTGTAATAAATTAAAGGCAACACGCATGGCCTTTCTCAGCTTTCCGACATTGTCCAGAATTTTGTCAGAAAAGTTAAAAACTGGAAATAATCTGACCAATCTCCAAGTCAAATATAAAAGCTCATGATTGGCTGTCATAAAGCTAACAATGACAGTCAAATGAAGCTAAAACCAACAAAAAAATGATCAAAACGTTGTTTATTTTATTTTGCCCGTCCTTCGGGTCATCATTTGGGTATTCAGTCCCAATTGAAAAATAACTTTAAATGGCGAAAAAGTGGGAAATTCACGCATGTGACTCATGGAAGTATACCGTTTCAACGACTGCCATTCCATGAATAATCCTAGAAAAGAACAAAAAAGATGTCGCTTATTTGACAGAAATTACTAGAAAAGGACATAACCCTGTGCTAAAGAGTACTGGTCTACTTACTGGCGCCTGGGGGTGAACGAGGTTGTCGACGAACACGGTCAACGATATGTCATCCATACCCGACATCCAGAAATTACATCGACGGGAAAGACACGCTCTTGTGTAACACATAGCCCCAAATAATGAGAAGGTATCAGACAGAAGATGTAAGTCTAATTTGTAGCCGACCGCAGGAAGCATACCCAATGTCTTGTCGTTTACACCTTTGCGCGCGGTGTCACTTTGGAAAGTGTAATTTGAAAATTGCCCGCGTCCAAATTAATTACAATTTCAAATCTGACGCGTTCGAGCGCTAACAGGATCGCATGTGTATGTTTCCTTCTCATTGCATCATTATAAGCATGATTGTAAATAACGTTTAACAATTTTAACAGGAACATCTAAAAGCTGAAAAATAAAAGATTCAAAATCAAATAAGTCATTTCATGAATCTTTAAGAAAAGTCGATTATTATGCTTAATATACCATATAACTTCTTATTACGTGCATTTACAATCACTCTTTGACCCATTTTCTAGAACTCGAAACATTGCACGACCATGCAAGAGCAGCAGAGCAACACATTATTACAGCAGTCAACCACAGACCTTGTATTAAAAAGTTGAAATGCTCCGTGCAATTGGGCAGTTTTCCTAAGTTTCGTAATGAAACGAACAATTCTCCCAGAAGTGTTTTCCAGAAAAATTCCTTGCCTCTTAGTTTAAATAGAGAATTATGATAAAGGCAAGTCTGTACCTACCAAATTTACCCAATAAGAAAAACACTAGAACCAGTAACCAGTATAAACTATACGAACAAGCGTTCGTATTGATGTTTTGATATTACAATCATGGGGCGAGTTGGGGATTCGAAGATGTTTCATGCGCGCTACCGATCTTAATATTCTGGTGGCTCCACTCGGCATTAATTGTTCTTTTAGTGAATGCTCAGACTCCATTCATTACAGTTTCATTACTGTCAATAATTCACGGCGTCCCGAGAATGAGTTTCGTTGACAAATGTTATAATTGATGAGTTTGGTCATGGACAGTATAGGCCTATGTGTAACAGCTTGATCATGTATGATGCAACGAAATTCATCAAGGACTGATGTCTACGGAATGATCGAGTCATGATTGAAGCAACGGTCGCTGGTGATAATATTAACATCTTGAAAGCTTTCTTTTTCAAAGGTAGTTTGAATCTGCATATCAGTAACAAACAACAGTAATATGTATCAGCGCACAAGATCGCATTCGGTCATTTTGCGATTCGGGCTAAGATGAAGTACCTTTGGTTATTTAAAAAGGTTTCATTCCTACTGACAATCTACTGACCCAGATTATTCCGAGCCCACACACGATATTAGAATACTCCTTCCTCTAAAAAATGCAAAGCCTTTGAGCTGGAATCGGGGAAAATTCATGGCTCATCTTGGGCAAGACGACGCAGGAGTGTTGGTGAGTAATCAGCGACGTAAGGGTCCCTTCTCCCGGGACCTCTCCCGCGGTTGTTCCCCAATCCACACCGAGACCCTGGAGATTCGGTCGGAGGTTGTTAATAATGTAATGGGTCGTGCAGATATCACTCCGGCGACAAGCGTGGTAACTGCCCTCTGTGACGCTTTCGCTGTGCCGCTGCGCTGGGTTCTGCGGCCAGCTTACGGGTCCACGTGGCTGAAACCGCACGTGACAAGATTACATCGACGGCAAGGGAGGCAAATGGAGTGAAGATATTATGAGGGGAAAAGAATATGCCATGTCGTGAGCTCATATGATGTGATCTGAAAATTCCAATGAAAATCTAAATGCAAACCTGCAAGATGAGAGCTTCTCTCCATTCACGACAACAGGAGTTTTCAAATATGAATACAAGCGCAAAAGTGGGGAAAATTGCACTTCACCAACATGAATCTTTCAAGTTGATAAAAACCTTACCAAATCATGTCGGTTTTTTTGTTCGTTTTTTTTTCATTTGATGTAGTTTTCCAGGAATTTTTCATTATAACAAGCAATCAACCATCAGTTCATTTTTCTCTTAAGCAGGCTTTTCTAGAACTTTAAGTAGAGATAATGGCCTTAGATGCAGTTTGCTCTGTGGTTTAACTGTACAAGCGGGACAGCAACGGGACCAGACGGAGTGTAACACCCTAGGCACACGAAGGCCCCCCGTTCCTTTTATAACCCCGGATCTAATTCACGGCTTGCGGGCCAGCGCGTTGCAACCGGCCTGCTGCCGCTTATGTAGCACTTGCTCTCCACCGATCACCACTGCCGTATCTGTGTCGGTATCCATTGCAGACCAGTACAATAGTTCTTTTCAGGCCTTTTTATCAGGCACGCAAACACTTTTCTGGGAGTACAATGGGTTCAGACTCACGTAGTGTTCATGCCAGGCCTCCTTTTCTGGAAAGCTCCTATCCTCGGACCAACGATTAAAGAAAAAATCAGCATGTACAAAAGTTGTGTATAGACGTGCGCTGCTGATCAATATTCGTTTAAAGATGCCGGCTTTCATGGCCCTGCAAAGGGATAACCAATTCTAAGGTCCATGATGAGTTGTCTTGGATCAATGGATTGGGGTTATTACGGTGTCCAATCCTCTCTATATCGGGAGTGATGGTAAACGATCGTGTCAGTTCGACACTGGATTAGCCTTGTCGTTTGATATGTTGATTGTGAAGCAGGAAATACAGGTATCTCCCTTGCAGTTAGTCGAAAGAACGTTGAAAAGTTCACGATGGCATACAAAGGAATTCTATACTTGCACGTACCTACTGTCAGTGTGCAAATGTTCATATCTATTAAAATACTCTTTGAAGTTCACTGTATTCAAAGTACAATGGAACTGACAATGTTGCATTTACATGAAGCCTATTTCAAGCCATAACCTCCTTATTCTAAGCACGTCGCGTACAATTCGAACGCAATTTAGAGTAGAAAGTTGCATTCAAGCAGGAACGAAAATTACTAATAAGTGCCTCACGAGTTTATCAGTGAACCATCTCGCTGATATTTGATTTCAACTGAGTGACACGAACTCACAGTCAGGTGTTCTACCATTGTTCTTCCCCCCCCCACTTTCTCCAAACTTTATCTTTGGGTCGGTATGATCCACACTTTGTCGTTGATAAATCGTTCATTTCCTTTCACTGTTTTCTAAATAGCACAGAAAACTTTTATTGCCGGATGGCTTTTGTTGTCAAAATTACCTCATTTCTTGACAATCGTGAAGTTTCCTAAACGTAGCTTTTTGTTGCCTCCGTAGTCAAGAGATCAGCTACAGTGCGCCTGGGGGAAAACTGGCGGTGTTCGGGTGGATTAAAGGTCTAAGTCCGTGGAAGGTCAACCGAAACATAAAAACCATCAACCCACAGTTTCTGTCACAAGATTCCGCTTTTTACAGAGTGTGAATCACGCAGTCCTTTTGTGACTTAGGGGTATCAAATTTGTGCGAATTTCATGTCGTATCACTGTCATAATTGTGAGTAATTTGTTGATCATAATTACATGGGAAATAGCTTTACTTCAAGTCTCCAACTTTGTGCTTCGTCCCAAAAAAGTGACCCAAATTCAAGCTACATTTCATGACGCAAAATCAGGCGCAAAAGTAATCCAGTGAACGACTTTTCAGGATATCCCAGTCAATGCTCGTAAAATAAACCTGTTGACAATAACATCGTACTTGCGACGAATATTTTCAATACAAAATGTAACGCTCACTGAAACTAGTGTATTAGTAGGGGCGTGGCTGCTGAGAAAAACTCCATTTTATTCATGTCAGATTACTCTCCGTTGCTAATGAAACAGAGACAAGGAATAATTCCCTCCCCATGCCAGTTGAATATCTCTCAACGCATGAACTAAACCGTGACAAAACGAAATAAATTTACAAAGGCCATTTGTATGTTTAATGTGACATTAAATTTGGACCAAATCACACCCACTGTTTTCATACGCGTTAGCACAATAATTACTGAATACTGTTGTAAGACCGTCCCTTCGACACACTTGCATTTCGGTACAGCTTTAACAAACAGTTCAAGAAATGAAGCTCTGAAAGACAACACAGTTATGCGACATGTGAAGCACTCTTTCTGGAGAGCAAATGCGTACCGAAAATCGCTACGGAATTGATGCCTGAGCACAGGAACCTATAGAAGCTAACAACTAGATTAAGTAACACATTTATCGATTGAGACGGGTTGGTCCATCCAAAATACCGGTCAAGACGGTGGAAGTTCATAACTGAAAAGAAATGATCGGCCTGAATTTTCGTTCTGAGAGTACTATTTGCCTCAATATCTAAGTCCACTTTACATAATAAATACGGCTGTAAATTAAACTTTCGGAGCAACTTGCTGACTGAGAATTAGATGCATTTTGACATTTCCTCACCAGAATCTCACGAAGGAACGAGTTACAATGATCAAAGGATTTCTCATTGATGCACAACTTCTGAATGACAAATACTTGTTTTTCTCCAAGAACCTCGTGAAAATGCCAGGACGTGGGATTGCAGAGTATCAAATTGAACTAGTTCGGATCAAATCCGTCATTTAAACTTAACGGCAGTACAAATGAGGCGTCGAAAAAAGACGGAATTTGACAGCATGGCACAGACTGCGAGGTTATGGCTTACAACAGTTTCGATAAAAAAAATGTCCTTTTAGTTTCAAGTCCAGTTCAGCCCTCAAATTTGGGTGGCATTCCAGATAATTTTCCCTCAAGCCGGGATACCATTTCGCCCTTAACTGAAAAGAGATATTGCATTTCAAATACTTTTCTGATTCAATTTTCCTCAACTGAAAGGAAAACTGTCACACTTTGTCGCCAAGAAACACAGCACAAAGATAGTACACACTGACTATGAGATCACGAGAATAGTACGGTATATTAAATTACGGTGGGTTATTTGCGTCCTTCTTCCAACATTTTACATACAGAGGATGCAAATGACTAGAGTCAACAGTTTCAATCTTATCTGCAGCAAAAGAAATCGATGCGGTATACCTTTTTAATCGCGACAGGTGAAGTGTCTTAAGTTCATGGTGACGACGTGCTGCCGATTCAACGTGTCCTGTATGTTGTGTACATGGCTCAACTAGAAATGTACAAGTGCTCCGAATTTTGTCAGGTAATGACGGGTACACAATGTGACATGACCATTTGCACAGTCCTACATCACTTCGTCAATTTGCAGTTGCTGTGATCAATTTGACCAGTCGGTGCGAAAAGATGAGCGTTAGATTTGCCGGTACCACTATACAGTGGCTGTCTTGCCGTATAATTCTCCCACACTGTTGACGTCTCGGTGTAAACCTATCTGTGGTACAGGGTCATTGGGTTCTGGCAAGCGGGGCCGGCACTGCTGCTGAGATCGGATGGCGAACCGGTTGACATGTACGGGGATAGGCACCACCAGTTTTGGATTAGGATTAACCCCGTTACGTCCACTCGTAATCCCCGCCTTCAGGCGCTTCCATTTGGCCCTCCGGTTCTGAAACCATATCTTGACCTGCACCTCGCTCAGGTGTAGGGACCTTGCAATTTGCGACCTCTCGCTCAGAGTCAAGTATTTCTTGCTGTGAAATTCCTTCTCGAGTTCCAGGAGCTGGTCGCTAGTGAAGGCCGTCCTGCGCCGGCGGGACTTGGAGCCACCCCGCCCGCCACCGCAGCCAGCGTCCCCGTCACCGTCACCAGACTCAGCCTGGTCGTCGTCCGGGTCTTCCTGCAACGGAGACTCGGTGCAATCCCCGCCGTGCTCACTGCGGCATTCCCCGTCCACTTTACCGTCAGAATCTGTAGATCAAATCAACTCAGTGATAAAGTCAACATTTAACACATGTATATGACTTGTCCCAACTGGTACGCGTAATTTGATGGGGTGAAAAATACGATTGAGTTTTGAATCAGCGTCTGTGACTACTGGACAGATATTAATTTCAGATCCATGAATAACTTCACTTCCCTTTGAGATACTGATTAGGCTTTTTGGTCGGAAAATCGGAATGACAATTGAAACGAATCCCCACCTCGTGGACAAATTGTTTCTATGAGGTCACTTATAACGTAAACAGACATTTTCTTCTAAATACTGTGTCTAAGATTGGTCCTTAATTACTGAGTGCAGTTTTGTTTGATATTGTCATTAGGAAGTGTTAGTTCGGCCGTACGCCATTGCGCTGGATCCCAGCGCGCAGCCAACAGCCCTTTGACTTGCCGCGGTGGTGGATGCCACAATAGCACCCACAGTGACATGTGCCAATATCACGTACCTAATTTAACAAAAATTGTACAGACTGGATGATATCGAGAGTGGAACCATATAGTAAACTGCCAATCAGTTTGTATTGATATCTTGCCTTTACGCACTGACATGAGTCTTGAACGATTGCTTGTTTTCAGTTTCGTAAATAAAACATTTTAATAAACCGAGGAGAAGAGTGCTACATATAAACTGTACATTAATTATTTCCATCCTTTGACTTCTCTAAAAATGACAGTGATTCTGAAACCGTGGATACATATATGTTAGGTTTTTTGTTGAAAAAGTCTGAATTTCTTTGGGCATTGTGAACAATTTCCCGAGGCACATTTTGATAGATTTCTTCCGAACGACAGAAATAATCAACGAAGTTTATCAAATATAGTAGCTGATTTCTGTTACTTGGGATCAATTAATTTGTTTGTAATTATCTATTCAACAATAAAAGCAAAGATTGCTGTCCTAGACTATTACATGCAGTATAATTATAGCCTAGAGGACAGCAATGAAATGACTACATAAATCATACTGACCGGTTTTCCTTTTACTTTTTTTTTTCAAGTTCACCATGTTAACTGCACGAGGAGTCAACGACGGCCAAAAAGAGAGTTCCAGTATTTCTTTCGTACTTAGCTTTTGGAGTGTAGGAAGAAAATACCAACTGAATAGAAATGGAAGTGATGCCTGATGTGTCCTGTGGAGATCAGCTTGTATTGAAGATTATACCTGAAGCATATGCTGGTTTGCCAGGATTCATCTCAGACATAATGTTCCCTACGATTTAAGCACAGAGCTGAGGGTACGACTCGCTATAGTTTAGTTGACGGGCAATCGTTTTAAAACCCATAATTGCGACCAAATACATTTATTTAGAGCCACGTTCATTTTATAAAGCTGAAGTGTGTATTTTTAACGAAACAAATTACATTTCTGAAACTGGAGCAAGATGAGCAAGATGAAACATTGGTACGCTCTATGCAAAACCTAGTTATTTGATATACAGTATGTAATGTGTGTGTTTCAAGTATGCAAAGTATTCGTCTAAAATTTCACAGTAAAATGAATCTTCTTTCAAATGGAAAATCCTATCACATATTCTCTTCATGCCCGCCGCCACCCATCCCTCTACGCCAATTTTCCTTAATCATAATTTACGTCGCCTCCGAGTGCTAAATGTCAAACTCAATTCGGTGCGGGCGGTCTGCGGGACGCGGACCGGCGCGTCGCATGCCCCCATCAAGACTCCTCGGCGTCACCAAGCCAGGCGTTTACCTTAATGACATGTCGTTAATCCAAAGTGCCACATGTAAGACAGCGCTACAACACCTTCCGTGATCATAAACCATAAAATGAAATTCAGTCGAATTTATCACCCGACCGGCTTGCGTCATTAGCACCATTAAACGGCCTAACATGCGTGCCCGCGTTTAAAGCCTTTTTTTAACCCCTCGGTGCATGAGACTGGCATTAGACCCAAGTGCTCCCAGATGAATGGCGCTAACGACAAGTCTCGTATGTAGTTCACACTTTTCAGCGACACAGCATAAATCGACAAGCAACGTAGTGCAACTGTCCCTTGAAAAATTTCAGACAAAGCAGATCATTTCACTCCCTTCAAGCTGCTGACTTTATGAAACCATTCATTGAGAAGACAAGGCACAATGGCTCCAACCTTGCTCAAGCCTTAGAACTTATAGAAGAGGAAGATGTTAGTGTTTCCGAAGTTAGACGGACATGATGAGGAATCCTGCAACACATTCAAGCGTGTACTGGATTGCTAACATCAGAAATTATAAGATTCCTCCTTCATCGCCTATCTTTTCAAATAAAGTCTTTTGATAGAAAAAAAGGATTCTTAATCTGGTATAAGACGAAGGATTTAAACTTAACTCACAAGAAAGGAAAACTGTCGCGGTGCATGTACAACAGCACTACAAGACGTTGTTTGCATGTTCTGATATATACATGTACTCAACTACATACGAATCTGTTTCTTACCTGATCTTTATCGTCATCTTAATTAAAAATTCTATTTGCGTTATACAGTGAAATTAATGAGTAAATATGTCTTTACCTTAGGTTTTCTTTGTTTTGGAGGTCATATCAACAAAAACCGCATGTGCATATCACACATGGTATCATGCCGCATAACACTGAGAATTTGCAATGCTTTTGTCATGGTAGTGAATGAACTTGTACTCGCTGTATTTCAGTTGACACAGTAACATTGTCGTCCGGCCTTTTATCAACAAGACTCTCTTAGAATTTTTTAAATTTTAGTTTTCAAAACCACTGAAATGTCAACTACAGCTGACAGAAAGCGGTCCAGACTGACTCGACAGCAGCTCCGACTATGCACGTGACAAAGCTGCAAGTAAGTGCAGTGGTTGATTCACCACGTTATGACTACTCACAATGACTCAGACGAGACCTAATTTCATATGTCTTAATTAAATTTGACATGTGTTTCCATACTGAATACTCACCCGAAAGTGGGCTCATATCGGCCTGGGTTAGCCGGTCACTTATTATCGATGAATTCGTTTCTCGAAAATGGGCATTTTCTCTAAGAGCTCTGCGCCAGGCAGGTTCTTGGTCGAGGTGTTGCTGATAATCGGTAGGTAAATGACCAATCATAGTCCTAGGTGGGTAGAAGTCCGATTGTTGGTCATTAAGTGGAGCTTTTGTACTTGGAGTGGAAGAATTTTCGGTATCTGAAATTGCTGTATGAGGAGGGGATATCAGATGAAGAGGAGGGCCTCTTATGGAACCATGGTACGACAAGTGGTGCTGTGGTGTGTGGAGGTGGTGTAAAAGTCCGTTCCCGTGAGCTGGGACGACCGCTGCGCTTCCATGAGGATGTACGGGCAGGAAGCTCCCAAGGCCGGCGTAGTGATGGTAGGACGGCGCGCTGCTCACGGTCGATTGAGACGGAGGGGCTGGTGCCATCAAGGAATCCACCGTGAAAGCCATAACGGCTTTGGATGGTTGCATCTTCCTGCAGATTCCCCTGTTGATATTTTGATAGCCGTTCTTTATTCACAAAAAACTGCAATCGACACAACAGCGCCTGGCATCCTACGATGTGCTGTCGCTATTGTCATGTTAGCCGGCTAAATTTGCCCCTTTGATGTTTTTGGACATACAAGTCTGCATCACTAGTCACTGTCTTGTTTAGCACAGTGTTTTGGCTTCATCACTGCATTCTCTCCCTGTGTGCAAATTCAGGACAGCATAAATCAAACTGAGCTTGCCAGCAATGTCTCCCCTGATTGGCTAGGCGGGACTATCTTATCCATTTCTCTCCGGTCAAAATTTAAGGACTCCCACGATTGGCCAGCGCAACAAACTAGGATGTAGTTAGACAACCTAATCATGATTACTAACACATGACACTACAGGTCTGGCTTTTGACACACATGGTCCCAAACTCAACCCTGGACGGCGGAGCTAGCCCGAAGTGCCCGTGTAATTCTTCAGCGTCAGGTTTCAGGTCAATGGTTGGCGAAGTTCGTCAGATATTTCGGGGCTTTTGATTGGACCACGGTTCCCCAATTGTCACCGGTAAGCCACGCCACACTCATCACTCTGTATTGACACTGCTTACCGCTAGTCTGGATAACTCTGCGACTTCTTTATTTGATTATAGACTGAACCACAGCACCAAGAAGTTGGCTTTGGGAAGACAGTTTTTAGATTGAAATGAAATTGTACTTTTCTTATATACGCTATGCTGATAAATTAAAGGTAAATTAATGCATGGGACAAAATGATCTTAGAGTTGGTCTTTTTCATCCGTGCGTTGCGCCTATTGGTGCGTCTGAGTAATTTTTGGTCAATAATCTACTTAGGGAAATTGGCCCACGACGATCCATGTATATCGATATCTTGTGTTTTTTACTATTGGCATTCGATTTTTCAAGTGAATAAGAATGGTATGAAAAGTTCTTCCGATTATTTGGCGCGCTGTATTGTGTTCGCTAGACCAGAGTAGGCCTACACACTTGCACAGAAACTTGGGTATCTCCCCGCCAGAATGTGTCTCTCTAGACAGTTTTGACATTAGCGGATAGTTCTCTCATGTTGAAGTACGATCAATATAGTGAAGGAGAAATCTTTTGCAAATTGTTACTGTGAAGTTAAAATGACTTGACGTGAATTCTATTAAGTTTAGTACCAGTTTCTCTTACCGGTTGGCACGTTGGTTGAAAATATGCGCTGTTTGTGGGCTTTCCAAAGTGCCTCTTTCAAACAGTTCTTTTCTTGGAAAAAACTCTCACGTGATCCCATCAAATAACCACTTGTAGACATTTGAAGCAAACTGAGGAGAGATGAAAAATGAAAGTGCATCACTAATAACCCGGATGACGACTGTAACGACGAGGGCGCAATTGATACTGACTACAATAAGGGAAAGAAGTAGTTCGAACAATGGTCCAAATGTTTCGTAAGTGGCTAAATGATACTGATGAATGATTTTGACAGGCTGGTTCGGTATACACACATTTAAATATGGCAAATACGCTGGAACACCCTTAATTGCTCTGACGTCATCGACGCAATTATGGCTTCATTGTATTGATGTATGCATGAACGGTCGGAAGATTGGACCATGGACGGAAAATGGGGCGATGGACGGATCACTGCACCGCAGACGAAAGTGCAGACTTTTATACCAGGATCAACTTCATGACAGCCTGGCGATGGATATGGTGTCCCAGAGGCCTTATACCGCAGACATACAACTTGAAAGCCTAGAGTTGATCCTAATTATTCAGGTGAGCTAGAGGTAATCAGACCCATTGTATAAGCAAAGCCTTCCAACCAAAGGCTCTCCAAACAGGTTGCAGTCCAGGCCAAAAAAAACAGCCATGGACCCGAAGTGGTCCAGTTATGCAGAACACACGGAGGAGATCGTTTGGCGGTCGAAGGGGAGGGAGTTGTTATGTCTCGCCCATCCCCTGGGAAGACCTGTCCGGTTTGCCCCTGGGCCCCTTATGCCCGGCGCCCCCGCACATCCATCAGCAAGGGGAAGTCATTAAGTTTCAATCCTCCTCCATTTCAGATTGCGTAACGCGACTTGATTAATGATCGGCTATGTGCTGTGTCCGAGACCAAAAGCACCTGCCCAACTCATTTACTGGCCCTTTGCGATTTGTCAGGGAGCTACCCCTATCAAGCCTCGATGAAAGCCCCCTCCGTGGCTATTTATTTACCCACGGCACGGAGGGACCCTGTCTCCCTACCACCCGCTGCATGCGATGAATTAGGGCATCATTTGAAGTATATATGGGCCACGGTATCTTTCAGAAAGGACGGAATGATTAATTGCGCTTGTGTTTGTAGAGGAGGCTCTTCGGGGATTTGATACGTGTTAAACTTTTGAGCCATCTTCGTTACCAGTCAATGTAGTGGTCAGAGGATGGAGTACAAGAGATTTTTATATGCTGTGGACCTACCTAGTCCTTCGTCTTCTGACTCGAACTTAGTTTTAAAGCCGTTAAATACACTTGCACGGATTAGAATGTGATTCCAGACTCCTGGATGCATGGATGCTGTCGGTGCAATACATCGAACTTTGGCTGAACTAGGCCTACATGTACGGATGGCCAAACCATTGAGCAAACTTCTTTGGTCTATGTGTTTTCTTTGCAAAAACAGTTCTAAAGGCTTGTGCTATATATTTGACTTTGGAGACTAAAATTAACCTACCTCTAAATGCATCTGCCATAATGCTTCATTGCGTGCAAAATCAAGTTCTAGTTCGCTGAGACATTAGCAATCTTTTGTTACTATGAGGAGAAGCACTACGGCCTTGTACCAGTTCATTTTTCAGCCAACACTCCTTGTACTGGTTGTAGATTAGCGATGAATTATGTGTTAAAGCTCAACTAGTTTACTTCGCAAATATACTGTAATGAGGCGGAATGGATTGTGAATTGATGCTGGTGGATATTATGCAGACAAATAAACCTGTTCACAAACGTGAAAATGTTTAATCAATGTGCGAATGTCAAACCCACATACTGCGGGATGTCATAACTTCCCGGTAGTGGTGTGTTTTATAGCTCCATAGGTAAACAGAGTCCCGTGTTTCATTCGTGGAGGGCACTCTATCCACGTCCTTTCATTACTACTAATCAGCTGTGGCTGAGGAACAGGCCGGGTTTCAATTGTGTCACTTGATAATTGGCCCTTTTATCGTGTTAAAGCGATACTTCGGAATGCCGTGAGAGGGCCCAAACCATCTTTTGGGGTTATATGCGGGCGGTTCTGAAGGCCGCTCACCGGGTGTTCCTAATTCGTCGCACGTGTGGAGGGATCGCTCTGTGGATAGATGGATGCCTGACACCCGGCGTAAGATCGAGACAGAGCATGGGGCGATAATGGCTGACCGCGGACTTGTCACCCGTTTGTTTAGTTTTGTCTCATTTGAGTAAAAATAAACTGAACCTTAAAAATGAGATAATGGTAAAATGTGAAACAATATACCGAGAAACAAAAGTACAAACATAATGGAGAATAATTCGCTGGTGTGGGTTCAGTTTGGGGGAAAACAAAATGTGAATCATTGTTGTTACGGTTCGAAAGAAATGTCGACACTGGTTCTCGGTCTTTGGTGACACAAAGACATCGATCTCAGCACAAGGATTAGTCTAGATTAGATATTCTGAAGTGCTATTCTGTTTATAGCTCAAACTGGTTCTGCGTGGACGCATTTTGTTTTCAGCTTGATTATGATTACGCCATCAAGGCTGTAAGATATGGTGCAAAAAGGGCCCATGTTTCAGTCTACTCCAAATTGGAAAAAATTAACTGGACCAAAGCTTCTTAATTACTACGTTTAGGCGTTTCGTCATGAAGCTTGAAGAAAGTAACAAATTTAGATAAACACAGGCCCTATTAGAAAAGAAATGGGCAGTTTTCAAATAAAACAACTGAAACCAAGTCCGAGTTTAAAATGTCATACTCTGATCATTACACTGGCGGGAATCTTAAAGATTTTCCATGTCGAGTTAAGCGATTTGCTTAATTATTATTATTTATTACTGCTTCTATTTTGCAGGTTAAGACTTTACGATTGGTAAAATACAGTTAAATAATTTCTAAATTCAGTTTAAACCTTTTAGTAAAGTTTTACCTCAAGGGCCTAGTCTTTATTGTCAATAGTATTGACAATACGACATCTGCATTTGGTGTTGATGGTTTCTGTATTTCATGAAAGAAAATTCACCCGATCACTTAAAGTTGGGCTTGGCCGAACGCTTGCATAAGGGCTATTCATCAACTTGACCATAGAATATCGCAGAAGACTAAATAGCGACTAGACAGCTGATCATCACTCAAACATGACACCAGCATGGGAACACGGGGACTCATACAGACAAAATACAGACAAAACTTGGGTATATACTCAACAAGCCGAGAAGCTATTCAGTCTCAACAAACACACAAACAATCCCTCTAGAGACCACGAAATAGGCCAGGTCTTCCAATTGCGAAAGTAAACATGAATACGAATGCGAATGTTGAACCAGGTGGTGCCGCGCAAAGTGGACGTCTGCCTGTGCGCTGGCCAGACAAGCAAAATGCCAGCATTTACTGTGACATGAGACTCGAACGAGGCCTTTTCAGCAAATTGAACCAAAGCAACTACTATGGTTGCCTCACTTTTGAATAAAGAGGAAAAGGGTGTATTAGGCCTAACAACCGATTTGTTATTAACAGAGGATGTTTTTGAAGTCATGATTGATCAAAGTTTGAGCAGTGCTCTCATCCCCCGCGTTGGAGCAAAAGGATAGACCATACCGATCAGAGACGGATCTCTCACGTTTCTTGTGAGCAGCCATGCAGATTTGCGTTGCTACATAAATCCAGAACATCCAGAGTATAATATATGTGTCTTAAATCACTCGGGATATATGGACGACATGTTTTTCAAAAGAAAATACTTGTTTTTTACTTCTTCCCTAATTAATTTTTTCGTATCGTGCTGATAAATTAACATGTCTTTGCATAATTCTGATCAGTCTTCTCAGTTTATTCCAAGAATATGCAACAAATAAACAATGATTTAAAAATTGTCATATCACTCGTACGGATGTCTACCAGTCATAGCTTTCAGCTAAAGGGATTTCGCCTAATAGGGGCCAGTTGCCAAAATCTGTTCAAAAGAAATAATTAATAACTTCAATATCTAGGACACTTGTCATCTTTTTGTTATATGGTGGAATTCCTGGAACGACTTTCAAAGGTCGGGGGGAGTAGTTGTGAGGAATCCGCCTTTCATTGATCGACCCATTAAGCCCCATCCCATTATAGGACCCGGCAGAAGTGTGTGTAGGGGGGGCCTAGTCGAAAAAGTGGGGCGCACTGCCCATTCCCCCACTTACACCGCCAGTGAGTTGGCCAATGATCGAAATGGAACATAAATATACAATGGTGAAACCGAATTAAAGGGGAGAATTTCAATTTCTCCTGAGCGAGTTGGTTATATCCGCTGCATTAAAATACTGATATAATTAACTCAGGGTGGGGAAGGTATAATAGTGTACATGGGGCCAACTCTGTGGCGGTGATTATCGGCAAAGGGGGAAAATAGCGTTTCTCGTTAGCAAGAAAAACACCGGCACTAACCGGCAACAATCCCCTGGCATAGAAAGAAGATTGGTGTTCATCTCGTAGAACCGAATTCCTTGGCAAATCAGTTACACATTCAACAATGACCGGAATATAGAGAAAGGACTTCAATCGGCTGCCGCCAGTGCCCGACTCCAGGGGCTATCCGCAGGGCTGTCGCAGGAGGGGCAACACCTGTCTTCCGCGTGGCCTGTATTGAGTCCACCAGGTCTAATTTAGAACTGGAATAATTTTCCCAGACATGGAAAAAAAAAAAAGGAAAAAGAAATTGCACGAAGAGGCAAAGTTCATCAGGCGATGTTCTCTCTGTTTTTCCCTGTTGATCTTCGCCTGGTCAAAGGCGGCAGTCTGGGCGATGATTGTGTGCGTACAGATTGCCAGAAACTGTGTTTTTTGTTCCTGTTTACAAGGCCGACGGCTCGTGGTTCAGTGAACGGGCAGGGCGAGGGTATTCCGGCTGCTGGCTATCCCTTAAGCTGGCTCTGCTGTTCCCCGTTGTTATTACCCAAACCCCCTGCGCGTAGATTTCAATTTTATGGATTGAATAGTGTGTGGTTGCCGACACAGGAACACTGCGGCCAGGAGGACTGGGAACCGACCAGTATCAATAGCCGTGGCGTCCCCCGTAATCCCTACACCCCTTTCCAGATGAATTCGGGCTGACTTTGGTCCAGTAATAGGATCAAGAACCCATCAAAGACCAATTTCAGCCGATGAGAGCCATTCAGCGTGGTGCGAGTAACTGTTGCCTTTTTTGTTGGCCCGTTAATGATCAGGGAGGAGGGTCGGTGTTTTGGGGGAGTTGGGCTCCCCCGCGCGCTCAGTCACCCGCCCTTGCCATGAATTACCCTAGTAACAGACCCACCTACCTTCGGGCGACCATTCAATCTCATCCCCCTCCACACAATAACTACATTTCAGTCAACATCATACCAAAACAGCGGCGGATCAAGGCAAGCGTTTGATGTCCTGCCAAAAAAGGACTTCGAGATCAGACCCAAGGAGTTTAATATTTAATTTCTGCAAGAAAAGCTGCTGAGCATGGCTTTAGGCAAAACACACTTTGCATTGAAAACAGTGACAAAAGGAAAAGAAAACACCCAACTCAACACATGGAACTGCGATTAAAAGGAATCAGAGCTATTCCAACTTGAAGTTAGACAAAACTGATATTTTTAATAATTAATAATCATGTAGGTTTACATAATAAGAACAAAACAAATATGCGCATCGCTATTTGAGCTGCAATCTTTATCCCACGCTTTTATGTAATTTTACGGTTTTCGAGGAATTTCCAGTGATTCAAGTACTTCAGTTAAGAATTTTAAAAAAAAGGTGTGTACACTAATTTTCCTAAAAATTTTGTAACACATAATTACCATTACAATAATTACCATTATTTGTAATGCTACACTCAAGAACGGTCGGTTTGCAAGTTTACACTTGGGTCAGGCCTTCCAAAGTTTCACAGCCCTGTGGTCGAATGAGTATGAACATACGCAATGCAGAACTTGTGTGTCTTCAGTTCACCGTCGCTGCTACCCTCTAATTAACAAACACGCCTGTGATACTCAAGTATTTGTCATTGTTATCTGCCTGAAAACATCTTATCCAGAGGTCTCCCTGCTAACATGTCAAATCAGTTTCATTCCGGGTACCTTTTTAGCCCACCTCATAGGGAGTGCAAAGAGTTTCCATGCAGCTAATTAAAATTTACAATAACTTGAATGCCCAACACTGTGGACTTAAACGTGACCCAAAGAAAAGAGTGATAAGCTGCTATGTCTGGCCTCTGCATTTTTTAGCTGTCGGCTGCAGACTAGAGTGAAACATTCACCACAATGCCACAAAAGGGGACGTCGAAACTCAATATAAGCACTGGTGTGTGAGCTCCGCCATTGTTAAACTCTCAGTGCTCGATCAAAATGATTGCTAAAGAAATACAATATCATGTTCACTCACGACCAATTGTAGGGGCCTTCTTTGAGCGGTACCCGATAAAAATGAATAATGACTTAATTTCACACAAGACTTCGCATGTTCTGTGAATTCTACAATGCCATTAACTTTCATTTCAATTTGATCCACAACCCGTAAGACTTTTGCTACTTTCAGTAAGTTGCACGCGGAAGCACAGACTCATTGGTTGAGCTTTCTTCGTTTTATATTCCGACGGTGGAGGCGCTAATCATAATTTACAGATTCGCTCGTCGCCCAGCGCCCGGGCGCTGGGAAGGGCTGATTGGCTTTGCACTGTGATTTGCTACGTTGTGCACAATCTGTGATATATTTCAAATCATTGGTTATCTTGATCAATTTTGGAAATGGTAATGATGGTAATAAAAGTCATAGTCATCTGTGGGAGGCTTTAAGAGCAACTACAAAAAACACTTAGTTTCTGGTTATCTGAGGTAGCTCCTTTTTTATCATTCTAATCTTCCTTTTGTTCTCCTAACGTTTCTAGTGTTTGGTAATTCCAATATTTGTTACATTTCAGTCTGTTGGTTAGTTTTTGTTTGGTTTGATTTTGTTTTGACCTTGTTTTGTTTTGACTGTATTGTACTACAATTGTCTTTTTTCATGTATAAACTGTTGTCAGTCTTCCTTGTCTGGTTCTTTTTTTTCTTGTCTAAATAAGGCATTTTTGTATAAGACTTTGTCTTCTGAACATATCTCCGTAGTTGCCCCCTTTTATTCAATGTCTTATGGTCTTATTTAGTTTTCACTCTTGCAGTCAAAAATCTTTGATTTATTGACCTTGTGTATAATTTGATATATACATTGCAATACGGAAAGAAATGTTAAGTCAACAAAACTGAATGAACGAATAAAGTGTAGTGAGAATATTTTCAGCAATGAGGAAGAAAAAGAAAAAAAATATCTAAGTGATAACCGCCGTCTGTGTCACGCATTGTGCAGTTTGCACGCCTGGCAGAAGTTTACCCACAGTGCTCTGCTGCGACCTCGTATGACGTATTTCCTTCACTAAAATCTGTGGATAGGCCATCAGCCCTTACCAACGCCCTGTTCGGGCGCTGGGCGACGAGTGAAGGCCTTTCAGGGTGCACCTAAGCAAATAAATTCACATAGACACCAATGATAAATCATGATCATTTAAAAGAATACTCAATTCTCACAGGCGTCCGGGCAGGACAGAAAAATCATGTTCAATATGTCCTCTTTCATTTTCCTTTTAATTTTTAATGGATTGACCGGTGAATTTTGGAGACATTCTTCCCCAAAGCAGACCATCCCTAAAACGAAGGAAATTTCACTGCCCGGAAAAGTCGCCATTTTGAAAATACATCCCTGTGCAAAACAGCTAAATAGTGCCCCTTTCGGACCCGACTGCTTCCAAATTGCTCAGAATTGGAAGCCCCGAGTCTGGGCTAGAGGTTCAGTGCCATATTTCTTCAATCCCCAATTCCGTGGCTCTCAGGACCTTCTAATATAGAATATTTTGAGTGTATAACTTTTAATCATTGGCGCGGCGGACATATTTGTGGCCTACTTATATAGACGCACCCTGCAACACAGGGTCGTCGCGTTCGGCCGCTCGTAGAACTTCTTATAAGGCGCCCTCATTTGAAAGCCTTCGCGATATCGGCTGACAACATCAAGGTTTGTTCAACCGCAGAGCTAGGAGCACAAGGAGTTCGAACTAGCTCTATGGTACAACCGTACATGGGTCTAACCAGTAAGTCCGACATAAGCCAATCAGACCCCCCGTCGGTGATAAGTATGTAGTTATTAATTACTGAATATGAACGACATGATCTTGCATAATGTACATGTATACGGAATTTCCACTAATCAAAGAGGTCAGACTTGTATACTCGTTCATTATAATGGAGGTATGAACAATGTAAAAAAAGTCCGGTAATTTGATTGGCTGCTACCTTTTTTGGTAGATGAGCTGGGCCCAATTTCACGGCGCTGCTTACCGCAAACGAAAAATTGGCACTTCCCGTAGAAGAAAATTTTGTGCTTACGGCGAACGAGTTTCACGGGTTAGTAAGGAATTTTGGCTTGTGCGCATGCGTAGGCCTACATCCCGTAACTAAGGATTCTGTCCTTTGTACCTTTGCTGACAAGAACTTCAAGAGCAGCTTAATAAAATAGAAATAGCCGCCGTTAATTGAAAATAGAAATAGCGGCAACGCCTCCTATACCTATGGGGCTATAGATTCTGTTTTCTGTTTATTTTTGTTTGTTTGTTTTTCGCTTTCAGATCCGTAATTGTTGTTGGACATAGTCCAAAACGTTGTTTCTTGAAGTTCCTGAAAATAAAAACAACTGCTTTCGAAAATGAAGATAACTGCCCTTGGCACTAATGGGCTTTCGTACGTTTTAGCGTAAGCACATGATGTGAAACAAGCGTACAAGAACAAGGGGACCCAGGATAGATGCCGGAAGTGAAAGGTCGTTAAAAATTCTCTGTTACCCATCTCCAAGCGTGGCCCTCTCACAATATTACTTAGAAGAACATAAAGATCAATTTCTGTTTCTTGGAATGGCTTCGGTTAGAAATCATTCATCAAAAAATTACCGAACGTAATTGGGCTGCCCGGGTGAAATCCCCACAGGCGGGCCTCGTTTTTTAATGTACATGTACCTACCATATACACAGTACTGTGACGACACTCTAGTTGTAGACAGGCCTACATCTGAGTTGCTTTTTATTTCTACGTGCAACCATGTGCAACGTATTTGGATTTCTTTGCCCCGAAACCAGAATATTTAGAGATTTAGAGATTTCAGACGTAAGGGGAAGTGCTGTGTAGGTGAACACGAAAGCAAAAACTGACCAAAGTGTATACGTACTACATCGTCATCAGAATACTATCATTTACAATGTACGAAACAAAAACCTACAAGAGATTTTGTGTACGATTCTCACTCTGTGGAAAATACGCAGTTGGGAATTTTTCTAGTTGGGAAGGCAGTCGTAAGGATGACTGATGGTAAAATGTGCCAAGACCTCAACGGTACCCAGTGCCTTTGTTATATCGGGCGTCTTGATCTGACCCTCGGGGAAATTGATGTCAAGAACTCCTTTAGCGGCCTGCATGGTCATGCTGGCTGGTCGAATCTGAATGGTGTCGAACTGGTAGTGGTGATCGGCACAAGTCTTCCTGTAGCGTTGGTAAGATCCAAACCACGTCTGTGACATGATGTCCACGTAAGCGCTGAAATTGGGGAATTTGTCCGCAGACTGATAGGACCCAGACGACTCAAAGTTGGCAGTGAAGGTATGACCGTTGAAGTCGACTTTGTAACTGTTGTCGGTGACCTTCATGTCGGCCGCGCTGGCGTTCAGGTTGTACTGCAGCCGCGAGGCGGCATTCAGGATGGCGGAGTCGGTGTAGATGATGGACTTGTAGTTCAGGAGTTTGGCCGCGCCGTCGCTGGAGGGCGAAGCTGTCAGATAAGGGATGTCCAGCTTGAACTCGGGGAAGGTTGGAAGGAGCCAATCTGGCAAGTCGATGGGACCTGCGTGGTGCTCTGTACCAATCTCTAGAATCACGGGATGTTGGCCAGTTGATAGGCCAGGGAGAGAGACATCTGACAAGACCATCGAACGACCTAAAATGATGTGATCATAATATCAAAAATAACGCAAAAGCTTCGGGTAGGGGATTTGGACAAATGAATTTACAATCCTTTCGATGACGCACATAATATTGTCAAATAGTTGGGAGCTAAAAACTCTCAGAAGTTACTTCGGGCTAAAGAAATTGGAGTACAGGTTTTATAATAAGGGCTGTCGGATCTCTTCAGTTGAACAGTTAGGCCTATGTTCATCAACGTGAGTCAAGGGCGTGTGAATTGACAGATGCAGAGTGCACGAGATAAAGCTAAGCCTTATCAACGACCACGGCACGGGTGACTCATAACTTCGCAGATGTCAATTTCTTTCTAGCCGATGCTTTCGATAGTGTGACTTTATATCCAGCACGAAATGAGACCGAGGGGCACCCCCCCACATGTCCGAACACTATACACACTGTAGACTATTGTTACCTAACACATCCCCCCTAGATGTCTGAAAAAATAATCCTCAGATTCCAGTGAAACAATGACCAACACAAAGCGGGGGGGGGGGGTTCTCTCCGTCTCATATCTTGCTTCATATATATGTGACTTAAGTTGCACTCCGTTTGGGTGCTCACAATGTCCAGTGGAAAAACTAACTACAATGTTGTGAAAGTAGTCTTTAAAATGTCTTGAAAGACAGTGTCGTTGATGAAAGACAGTTGCGCCACAATTAGGAGGCTTCACCTGAAGGTTATTACTCGTATTATGTATGGCTGGGGTTGGGTGCAGATGATTCAGATGCAGAGAAGTATACCCAGGTTGTCAGAACATTCAGTGACATGCACTGCTGCTACTTGTTTTTCGTTTGGAACAGAGTTACACATTAAAAAACAAGGACAAAACCTCCCCGGGACGAAACCTCCCCAGATACTGCACGATATTTATATGCAAGAGATGACCAAACTTGATGATGACGGACATAATGACGTGTAAATATAGACCAGGGAGTGCATATAGGCAAACCCGCACAGAAAATATAATTAAGATGTGGCGGCAAGTAGGCAAACATTTTTAACTGGCATAAAGTCGCCACAGTTACGATTTGCCCGAGCATGACTGCCCAGGCGTTAAGCTGCCACCACAACTTACCGCTCTATGATCATGCATGTAGCCGATGCCCTGTTCCTGTATATGCAGGGTCCGCACTGCCCATAATATACTAAATGAGACCTATGGGGCAGAAAACTATGGTAGGGGAATCTGATTTGATTTGCTGACAAATTGAATTCAAGTCTAGTTCCCCTTTCCCTCATCGTGCAGCATGCAACACTGTAATTATAGTAATATAGGGTCAGTTGCATTTCATTTCAAAAAAGTTCCAGGAATAATCATACCCTCAACATGTCTGATGTAGCTGTTCTGTTTACCTTCCGGAGAAGCACAATATTTCCCAAGAAAATATCAAAAGCCCATTTACAATTTCTCTAGTAAAATTTCGTGGACGACAGACTCAACGTTTCGTCGGGATGAGGCCCTATACTAGTCAACCGTGCGTCTCAAAGCCAGATTCGCTCGCATTTTTTGTGTGTAAAAACACGACAAAATACATGTACTGTACTTACAGTACTGAGTTTGTAAGCCCAAATCTGCAGTTTTGTTGTAGTTAGAAAATATGTGTATCTAAGAAACCGTAAGCCTATAGCCAATATACAACCATAGAAACCTTTTGGGATCACTTTTTGTGATGAGTAGCCTACTTACCGGTAGGGAGCATCTTCTGAACAGTGGTATTGGGGAGGGGAATGATGGCCCACCAGGCGTGATAATAGCCCTTAATGGCATCCTTGGCGTTCACTTCGTGTTTGGCGATACATATCAGCAACACAATTAGCACCAAAACCAATTTTGTCATTCTGTTTTAGGTAGATTTGTCTGGCTTGAAAGCCGACCTGCGCTTTCCCACAAATTACTGTGCGTACAGTTTGCTAGTATTATAAAGAATGAGATTTACTGACAGCCAGCAAACATTAAATAGACCATAGGAGCAATTAGGTATACTATCTTGACAAAATCTGTTGTCGTGGAAAGCAGACGGTACATGCCAATAACCGACTCCACTGAATTGCTGATTACGATGCGTGTCGATCAAACTGAACCAACGTTATCAGTCTGAGTACAGAAAACTCTAGACTCTAGAAACCGGAGCCCCAGCTGGTAAAGATTCCAGTGTAATTTAGCAGTGCCGTGACAGAGTGCTGGGAGTTTGTGCAGCCAGTTTTTATACAAACGGCTTCTTCTTTCCAAACTACAAATGGAGGAAATGACAGGCACTGAAGATAAACGCCACGATCAGTACACGTCTGCTTTCGTTACTTGATTCGGACATATTTACCAGACAAGCAATAAAAGCGGTTATAAGTACGCCACGCGATATTTCACACTTTTGTAAGGCCGGGTCATACCAAAGGCGAGCGTGAAAGCGAAGCGAATTTGACGTCCCAACTTGCAGCGAAATTCGCTCGAGTTGAAATGTGTTACATTTTTAATTTGCAGCGCAAATATTGTGATCACGTCACAAAATTGCGTTGATGTTCGCTTTACGGCAACCCGTAAGGTAGGCCACGCGTGGTGGAATCAAGAAAGTCTCACAGCACGCTTCGTCACGACGCGTCGCCCGACTTTTCCTTTGCTCCCACATATCCTCATGTTGATCATCCACAGTTCCAGAGGCCTGCCGGCTGAGCAACGCAATATATTATTCATACAAGACTAGCTAATCCATGTGCCATCCAGTTGGATTTGAATGGCATAGTTTCAGACCATGGCATAAGTATGGTGTTCCATACGTGCCATCCGGTCAGATTTTTCACCCGTCGTCGCACTTTTGGTTTGGAATCGCATTTTTCAACCGGCGTAGCATTTTCCAACCGAAGTAGAGACCCTACTGCGATAAACGCTCCCTCAGGCAGCAACTCTGCAGGTTGGCGAATACCAACTAGAGAGAACAATACGCCTACTGGGTTTGCTTGTTGACGTAACTTTACGTAATGACAGCAGTTACTACCAAAACAGCCACAGCAATAAATAATTATAGTAGTCATCAATACGGGGGCATTTTTAACTCAACAAGCTTGCAGCAGTGAGAAACCAAATTGAGCGATGTGAACTTTCACAGACGATTGGGTTGTATCAAAATGAGAATTGTAGGAACCTGACCGAGTTCATTAAACGACTGTTAACTTATTTACCTGCAGCTATACCAATCGACAAATACATGCTAATTTAGCCGTTTCCATAATCATTAAACATATTCACGTATACCTTAAGCGTCCCAGTCAACAACGTCAGGTCAGCTAGACCATGGCTTGACCTGACCATCAACGTTAATAGCTGCGCGGCTTATTCACATCAAAATGCGACACTGGTTGAAAAATGAGACGCCGGCTGAAAAATGCGACGCCTGTTGAAAAATCCGACTAGACGGCACATATGGAACACCATACATAAGCTGTTGCCATGACCAAAACGAGCAGTCAACTGACTAAGAAATATGGAAGGGCTGCGAAGCACCGTGATCAGAATATCGACAAGAATAAATCAAATCAGTGCTCTAAAATATGTGATTGCCAAGCTTTCGGTAACTGAGTACCTTCTTCAGGGCAAGCAGATTCAGTTCAAAGTCAACTGACCTATTTGTCTATAGATGGTAGTCACGGAGTGTCTGCGCACGATTCAGACTTTGAAATTTGTTCTTCTTCAATTTCAAAGACACTGGGTTCGTAGGTATCCGCGCTGTTGTGATGACCAAGCACGATTTCTCTATTCTGCTCACTATAGAGCTCAGGAAATACCATGAAATGCCAGAATCTCGACAAGTTGATTGACACTTTCAGAGCTCCGTATCTCACATCTGGATAAGGAGCATTCATTTTTTGGACTGAATTCTGAACATCAAAATGCCACTCTGGCTTTTCCATACCAATCCTCATTAGGACGCCTCGTTCAAAAGTTCACTTTCCAGTAACATTTTAAGGGCGTCATATATAGAGAGTAGAATGTTGCAAAAATATATTCCAAAATAAAACTCTTGTCATCAGCCTTTTAACATTCGATCTTCTCAAGGATATAACATGCAGACGATTACCCACACATTCGTCTACACATGGTCTTCATAATTTGGCCTCCCCCACCATGTCAGCATGCTGTACTGTCACTGTAGCTATAAGCTGACAGACATCACTAGTTACATAATCTACGGGACAGTACAAAACGCAATTTGTTCATAACATTTATTTATTACCTCAATCTGAGTCAACAAAACGTGTTAGGCACTGTTTGATCCGAGTCCACTGGGTTTAATGAGGAGCAAAACCAAACCACGTTTGCACTGTAGACCTTAAAACAGAGATTTGCTTCACTTGAGATTCCTTTCATGAATGGCACACATGCCAAATACAGCTCTTTCCAACACTTCACGTGAAACGAAAAGCTTTTTTTTACACACATATCAACATTGCATTGAAACTGCTGTGTTTCATATCACAGCCTTCAACATTGTGTTCACCCAGTCCCAACCTAGAACAGTTTGTCAACATTCCCAAGTTAGTACACGCAAAGTCTTTTTTAAAGAGAAATTCAAGCCGAATCACTGTCGACATTGTGATAACTTTGACCTCACAAATTAAAGTTGTTCCATCAATATTGAGAATTTTCTGGACTTTATCATTTTACACATTACACTGCATTACCTTGAGCCTTTCCTCCAACTTCTGCTTGATGAAGCATGTAACCTGTACAACATGAGTGGGCTGTCACTAACAGAGTCATGCAGACAAAGCAAACCAACTCCCGTGTGTACAAATAAGAACAACCTTAAATTCCGGCATATTTACCATGTGAGTAACATTAGTAAATAGCATGAACGCTTGTGTCAGGAAATTAAACCAGCTGAATACATCAACTAAAACTCCTCTAGAATTGGCACAACGGCAGGTGTAGCCATTCATCTAATTATGTCGAAGTGCTTAGAATACATACACCACAGTAGGCCACAGAGATGCAACCAATTGTATAGTAGTCACCAACAACCCCATTTAGCCCTTACATGTCTTATAGGCCACACCCCAAATGATGATACGTGCATTTGGCATAAGTACAGTGTGGCTTTCACGTGACCTCTAGAGGCTACAGGGCAGAGTTCATTTTATCCGAGCTATTTACACAGATGAGGGCTGCTCCATGTCCAGCAAAACATCAACCTGGAGTTGTTATTGCCCCCCAACATTCTCCAGCCCAATGCTTTACATGTGTCTGTGTCCTTGGCTTAAACAGGTGGGTTTAGAGAGTATCATTCCTGTTTGGAAAGGACAGAGCGGCAGGACTGTGTTGTCAGGAGCCTGTGGGAGCTGAAAACAGACAGGCCAATCCCAATGAAGAAGAGGAAGAGGGCTGTCTTTGGTATGGCTGTGTCACTGGGTCGCACGCCACTCATCTGCAGAGAAAAATGACCAATCTGCCATTTAACTACATTTGTATCACAAAACTGGGCATTTTCACTTTCTACTGGAGCTAAAAAGCTGAGACAAGTCATATTTAAAAGGTGCTTTCGTTACTTTAATATTTGCCCAACAAACCTACAGAACCCATAACCTCTGATCTTCACTCTTAAAGAGGATTGGAGACACGTAGCTTGTTGTAGTATTTAGCAGGTACAACTCAGTCTCCATCTTTGCTTTGCGTAAAACCTGATGCCCCATGATGGTTAACAAAGAAGCCTTAGATTCTGGGTTACGCTTAGTGGTGATTTTGGAGAGTTCAGAAAGGCTCTGAGCACAAGAAGGCTAAGTTAATCATCTCATGGATGAGATCATTTGGATTACGAAAATTAAGCGAATAAAAGAGTAAATTTACAAGGTCCAGACTGCCACAGAACATTTGAAAGAAAAATATCCTACTGAAGGTTCTGCACAGTGTGCAGTGCAAAATTACACAGTGGTATGTACCTCCAAAAGCCTGTTGGCAATGAGCCTACGATTGATCCTGGATATGATCATGATGTTTCTTCAGTGTTGCTGCTACAATAACATCCTCTGACTCTTCACTGATCTGTAATTAGAAATAAATGAGAAGGGTGACTGAATAACAAATTCTTAAAAATTAGTCCACGTAAAAAATAAACCAGTTTCTCCTCTAACCCACTTCCTCCTTTCCTGCCTGCCTCTTTTTAAAAGAGTTTTTGTCTTACCTTCTTTAAAGGAAGCTTATGCCATTAGGTTTTTGCGGTAATTTCATAAGATTGGCTGATTTAGGGATTCAAGATTTACTACAGCCTTCATTCCACCGACTTGTTTCATAGTTTTGAGAATAATCGAGAAAAACACAGTGGTGTATTCATAACTTGAAGATCTTGTAATCTATCTAGCACAAAATCCACGAAGTACAGGGTGTTCGTAGTAAGTGAATATGCGCATGCCAGGTCAACGCAGTTTTCCACAGCCAATAGTATATGTAATCAGTCAATTCACCTTAGAGTAATATGTCTCTTAGACAATGTAGTACTGTACTGTGAATCAATTGAAAAACTTCATTGAGGAAGTTACTGCATGCAGTCAACTCGTGGCAGTGACATGAGTGATGACAAATTACATGTACATGCGTGTATGACTCGTGACTCAGACTTGAGTCTGACTTGAGTAACATTTTAATAACTCAGACTCACACTTGAGTCACTTTGACAAATGACTCCGAAAGGGACTTGCTGCTGTGGACTTGGACTCAAACTTGACCTGCATGACTGGTGACTCTGCAGAAATAACATTGTTGCATCGTTTTTGCACTGAGCAAAACAGTGCATGATGCAGCTACTGCAGTGCATGTGTGGTGCGTGGTTGACAGATCACGTGTACATCAAAAGGCTTCGTAGTCATAGTTTAATTTCCATGGTTTATTTGACATTTACACGAGCACGTATTTCAAGTTCATTAAATTTGAGAAAAGCTGTGGTCAAAAATGAAATATTTGCAGAACCTGAAAAAGTGTTCTCAATACAATAACAAAGGTGACTCGTGATTCGACCTTTGAGAGATGTGACGTGGACTTGGACTCAGATTCTATGTTTCGGACTCTAATACAAGTCTGTGCTTCATGACCACACTTTCACTGATGTCAGTTACATGTCAATGCCATGGAAGTCTGACACCCATTCTCTGTTGACTAATAATTATGGGCACAGAGGAAATTACATATAGGGTTGGGTCAATTCAAATAATTCACGATTCGAATATTTGACCTTCAATTTGATCGAATATCCAAATATTTGATCGAACCGACCGGCAGATTGTTGATGAACAAACCATATACAAAATCAGCTGCAATAACACACACAATTGTAGAATAATGATCAAAATAACAGCTTCTCAAAGCTTGGAGTATCTCCAGCCGCGATTTACATGTAGCAAGATTTAAATTCAGAGATGAACAATACTTTTTGCCCTGTTGAAAATTTCTATTCCTTTTAAATTAAACTGTTTAATGAATAATTTACATTTTCAATCACTGTAAGATTTCTATCGCTTGTCATTTGAATCTGCATGAAACAAACCTCCATAGTGCAATTTTTCTCATTTAAAACAAAAGAAAATTTTCCCTTCCTTTTCATGAATTTTGCATTTGAATATTGAAATTCAAAAAATAATATTTGAATATTCGGTTATTTGGCACACCCTAATTATTTCTGGAAACACTGGGAGTTTCACGTCTAGAAACTGTACTTCTTGTTGACGAAAATTCTCTCAATGTGCAGCTTGGATCAGCAGCCATGTTGCCTGCACATGATAGTCAGTTTAGACCATACCATTATGATCAATCGGCGATTGCGAGATCAAAATCCCTTTAAATAAAATTTGACCTTAAACTGATCCGGTTCTCTTTTTTTGTACCTTACACTTAGTTGAAATCCTCTAATTTCTGTTTACAATGAATTTCTTTGTCAATTTCCACCAGTGTTTTTGGCTGCCTTTAAAATTCCCATTTATTCAGACTACTACAATATCTGCATACACTATTCACAAAAATGCGCCTATGTGTTCCCCGCAGCAACAAAGCCTGCTGCAAACAGTCATTTGTACCAGATTCAATTCACCTCTTTATCAGTAAAGTTACTAGATAAACTTTGTCATATAGTATGTCTATGAATAATTAGTTTTTATTGTTAATACTGTTTTGTCATTTCCACAATGAGATAATTAACTACAAAATTGCGTATTGTCTTGGTTTATGTTAATATGTTGTGTGGAAACTTGTTATTTTGAGGCATGACGTAAATAATTTATAACTTTATAATTCTTGTCATGCTCTAATTTATCATCCTGTGGCTGACCCTTGAGTTCATGCGCCATGAGTGCACAAAAATCGCTGGCAACAGCCACTTGTGAGATAACACTTGCTCAACACAAACACTGAAACTGTGCACAGTGCAACAGCATGCTAACATGCACTCAGATTCAACGGCTGTTCCTTGTCATTCTTGCCATTAGGGCAAAAGTAATGAGGAACCCTGTGATTGGTCCATGTCAACCCCCCCAGCACGCTGTAGCCAACCAGCCAGGTAAGTCCTGGTTAAGAACTACACATGCATATATACGGGAAGCGGCTGAAGCTACATTCCATACAGTTGTGTAGCAATTGCAGCCGTGGTCAACCACTTGGTTGCAGCTTTTCTTCACGTACACGTGTAAACCGCATGACTCTCAGACGATGATCAGAATGTATTTTTGCCTGCACAATTTTTGTAAAATCAGCATCGTTTTGATCCGTGTTTGTTTTCTCGGTACACAGAAGATACATGTACATGTATGTTACTTTGAGAACTCAAAGTCACTACTCCATTATTACTCCTTGTGACTTTGAGCCAATACAGTTTACATCATGGCATAACACTATGGGATTTTTGTAAGCAAACTTGATAGGCGAATGCTACACAACTTGTACAAAACTATTCAAGACAGTGAGAGCAAACTTGAGTAGCCTACAGCTCTTAAAAAGGGTGTAACAAGGGTTTCAGAGCATGAAACTGAGTATTTTTGAGCAGAATGAGATTTTTATTCATCAATTTCTTGGTTCCACATGATGATGATCACACTGCTCATGCCGTGTTTGTTTACCAATCTCGGTTCGACCATTTTCGAAAGCGGGGATTAGCATCTTTACTTGTTTTCACTGCGCGACCGCCACCAGGACGTGACGTGCAACATATGCTGTGCTGTGTAACTGTGACAATTTGCAAGATCTTAGAAATCCCCCGCCTGAAGAAAGCAAGCATTTGCCTATTGAGTTCATTTTAAAAATCCCATAGCATTACGACTCCATGTTTAACCAAAGCGTGACTTCAAACTAGTAGGGAACAAGACTCTAGCCACCAGGCAAAATTTGTCCTGGTTAAAATAAACCGAAACACGGACAAACGTCAGACATGTTACATCTGACATGTCTGGCCATGGTCAGACCATGGAGGTATACAGGAAGAGATGGTCAGACGGTCTGACCTAGCTCTACTAAGTGGAACGTTAGTCTTCCTCTTTAACGATTTTGGATGGGATGGTCATTGAAGCCCCAACCGTTTGACGTTGGCATTTACGGAAGCCAGTACAGTAGGTGGTGATAGAGGTATTTTTGGTGAGTCTTTGGAATTTCTGAGAACCGTTTTCACCTTGCTCTATGTAATGTCATGGAGCGTTAGTATGACAACCCCGTCCAAAATCGTTAAAGATGAATACCAACATGATTAATGTTAGTCAGTTAAGAGTTAGGTCTGACCAACCGCATCAAACTTCTTTTTTTTTACGCAGTAAGTAAACCCTCAGCCTCAGGCGTGTTACTTCTTGTTACTGCAATGACCTAGGTCCTACCTGAATTCCCCACAGTGCAGGACACGCAAACCTCAAAAATACACGCCTATGGTAATAATTTCACAGCTTACTTTGGACATGTCATCAAATAAAACGAACATCATTTACCGGCACGTTGCTCTTTTCCCTCTCACGCACTCGACGCCATCTTGCATACAAAATGGTTGCGCGCCGCGCACACGTACCGCGGCCGCCCGCCCGCGCCGCGTCTCATAACCGGTCGGGCTTTTCCAAATAGCGGATTCGTCAAAACGTGGCTTCACCAAATTTGTACTCACTTTTAGCTCGGTGGAGTATCAAAATAATGTTGTTCTATGAATCAAATAAAATAAGTATTTTTGTTTAATAACGGCTATTTTTAGACATGGAAGTCATAGCTTCAGGTAATTTCGATGTCAGTGACAAATCCGCCGGTAAATAAAGCCGCGATTTGAAAAAAATGCTGGTCAGTGCGCTATACTTGACGATACCGAAAACCCTTAACATAGCAGTCGTTGATGGCGCCCTGTATGCAGACCAAAGTTACCGAAAACTCGCCAACTCAAATTCATGAAATTGTTTTGTGACCTGAAAAGAACTCTCATAATAACTCATGAAAAAGTCAAAACTTCCAAAAGGCCCAAGACAGGCGTCAATTAGTTTTAATGTTTCTAATTTCACCTTCTGTTTAGGCGAAAAAGGTAAGCCAGTAGATTTTGTCATTACCGGGATGAAAGAATTAGCTACCCCCATTTTAATTTTGAGAACAGTTGTACTTCATTGAAAAATAGCGGGGGCATTTTCAGGGTCCATTTGCACGCACATCCAACCACCTCGGAAGTACAAGCTCAGAGATGTAGCCCTCTATGTGTAAAACCGTAGCTCTAGTGTGCAGACATGCCAAACACCCTCTAACAAGCCTACTGGTGAAATTGCGGGCATAGACTGATTAAGACTTTCAGCGGTATATCCAGCGTTTGGTGTGTGTGGGGGGCGGATTCAAAAGCGAATGAGGCTTGGCCCATTCAACATGATGTTGGGGGAGAAAAGATTCAAAAGCCTTACTCACGGTCCCGACAGCTTTGCTTTTATTTACTGATGTTGTTTTCTTAGCGTTTTGGGTGCTAATATTTGATAAATTAAATATACCGGTTACTTTCTTTGCGACTCACCTATGAAGTATTCTTTGTGAGAAAAAATAATTGGGGGAGGGTAGTTGCAAGTTGTTGTGTACAACGGCTGGCAGATTGCTCTGGTTACTATAATGCACTACGATACATTGATGGGTTACTATGTGCACGACCTCCGACCGCGAGGTTATCTTCCTGTTAGCGAAGCGTGTTATTTGAAGTTTTTGGTTGGCCAATGGCAATGCCTTATCAGGAGTGAAAGTGTCGGCTTAAAATGACAAAAGCATGGCTTTGGTGCAATCACGGTAATTTATCTTCTCACTAACTATCTCAAAGTCATTAGTTATCTTGATAAATTTTGGATGGACTAATAAAGTGTAGTGAGAATATGTTTTTGCAACGAGGAAGAAAAAGAGAATGTATCGAATTAAAAACCGCCACACGCGCCTGGCAAAGATTACCCACAATGCTCTGCGCGTCGTCAGCTGCGACCCCGAGTGATGTATTGTTTGTGGTTGGTTTGTTGGGGTGTATGTTTGTTTGTTTTTATTTGACAACACCCACACAGATTACAAATGATCATATACAAACAAATTAATTAACTCAAACAAAATAAAAAGAACTACATATAAATCCAGGGCACTGACGAGGACAGCACAAAAAAGCTAGAAATAGCTTATTTCCATTGCAGTCCTCTCTTTCTTTCACTAAACTCTGTGCAAGGCTTTCTAGCGCCAGTGTTTGGGCGCTGGGCGACGAGCGAACGCCCAACCCTGCTTCCACTAACATGATGCGGATTAGAGAGGTCTTTGATTCTATAATCGGACTTAGTTAAGTTTTATGGGAGTGGATGTATTTATTTCATGTATTTCATTTTTCGGGATACACTTACAAAGACATTCTATTCACAGAGGATACATATAAACATTAGAAACAAAACACAAAGGACGCAATATTTAACCAGCTCCTTTGGGGGAGGGTTCTCAGAGACAGAAGTCTCGAAGGTCATGGGGAAGCGAAATAAACAATCTGGGAAAGACGGTAAATGAAGAAAATTTCACACATTTGATGTTTGAAGAGCAGGGTGTATGTCTTCCTTGTGTTAGGGTGTGGAAGAAAATGTGACGGGATGTTGATTTGTTTGAAGAAGCATTTAATGACGAAGGAAGCACTTAAGAAGACAAGTATGTGTGTGTGTGGGCAAGTTTAGACAAGTTTTCTTCGTAAAAGATGGCCTTTGATCAAGGCGTCCGCGGCGAAATGGATAGTCGTTCAAGAGCGAGGAGCTGGAGGAGAATAGTTTAAGCACCAAACCAACGCACGAAGAAAGACTACACGACGAACCGCACGCAAGCCCTGCGGCGCGCACAGCCACAACACATAATACAGTTTGGCCACTGCATGCGCATATGCGCATGCATTGTTTATACTCGCGAGCTTGCATGCAGTTTGTCGTGTGGTCCTGACTATCCATTTCGCTGCGGGCTCCTTGATCAAAGGCTATGTAAAAGAGGAAGGCAAGACTGTAAGTGTCGGGAGTATGTCCCTTTTCAGCCTTTGCCCACTCCGATCCACTGACATGGTTCGTCGCGGGTTCAATTTTCCCTGCAGGACTTTTTCTCAATGTAAATTAATGGTATCCTCCAAAGTATAATTTTTCCCAGCGTAACACTAACAGCAATTTTGGGGGCTTACGAGCTGCATGTGACAGGGAATAAATACAGACGTAAATTATACACATATGTATATTCATGAAGGTAGGACTTGAGGTGTGCCTTGTGTGGAGACCAACATAAATAGGCATTATTCTTTTGGCCGTTCCAGTGAAGAGGTCTGATCAGTTTAGCAATCATCGTTGAAAATCCAGGAATTTTGTAATGTTGCAGCCCCCTCAATAAAATGGCTAAAATTTACAATGCAATAAACATTTACAAATTTGAAATAAAATTTGTGCTATTAGAATTTATTCACTTACAATCGTGTAAAATCTAATTATTTCCCTGGTTAAAATCCGCAAGGCTGATTGTCAAACTATTCTCTAACCTGGCACGTTTTTGGCACTAAGAGTACGTGTTATTGTCCAGGCAATATGCGAAATTGAAAAAAAAATCATTAGCTCAGTTAATATCCTTGATAATAATTCAACACTCAGGCTGAACATAAAATTGTCTCGTTGTCATTCAACTTTACTTTGTATGCACTAGATTCATTTTAGCAATTCCCAAACTCAGTGTTTATGTGTGACACTGAAAACAATGCCAGAGCAGGTCACTCAGGCATTTGAACCGAATCTCCAAAAAATCAATCGAAGTAATGTGGGCCAGATCGAGGAATTCGAGTTTATGCAAAAAAAATGCATCGGGCAGAGAAGCTGTTGGGCTTTTTCCAGATATACTGATACATTTAAAACAATCTACAGTTTCCACATTCCTTTCCTTTAACATAATATTGGATGAATGAGATATGGGCAGAGAAACTACGCAGTGACGGTTCTACGTGGCAAAGGAGCAGTTACACCGTCCCAAAAGAACTGTGAAGTTTTGTCGTGCGCCCTCGCTTACTTTGTTTTCGTAATCATGACCATGACCCAAAGTAATGGATTTGGCTAAAGTGACATGTGCGTCTATGGAAATCACTAACTATAGAGCTGCATCCAATTTTACTTGCTTCAAGCCGCAGCCATTGGAAAATGGGCGTACAACCTCGTTTTCGTAGTGTAGAGCACTGTCCGAACCTATTATAAAATAAAGTTGACACCGACAACAACGTAGTTACTCTTGGGGACGAAGTTGCTGAAGGTTCAAGGCGCGCGCGCGCCGGATATGCATATTCAATATACATGTATAGCATGCACAGATTAGAGACAAGACAGGTCGGATATCGCGGTGCGTGAGGACTAGTTGGTGAGTACAAATATTTATTTCAGTCTTTTGGTGGCTGTAAGTTTTTGTCAGTAACACTGTAGTGTAAGAAAATTAATGTAGTAATGACCAAGAACATATTTTTATGATAGTTGTTCAGCATGAAGGTTTTAACGATGGAAAAAATGAACTGGTTTCGACGTCTGCGGTGTATTATTACTATGTCAGTATGTGCGAGTGCGATGATGTCATACCCTGCGTAGTACCAGTGCAAAATTGCCATACTGTGTACATCATATACATGTACATTTAGTGTGCGTTGGGGAAACGGTTACCCACTAAATACAAAGCTGAGAGAGAGTGCATGTTGAAATAAATTTTAGTGTTTGTACCTTTACCGTACTGTTGCAATGTTATGTTGATATCATTTTGATATGTAATATAAGTGGAACTTTTAATTGGAAAGGCCTCGGTATTTTGCCAAGAAAGGTGAAAAGTAAGGAATTGTTTGCGGAAGTTGATAAAATTGGCTTTAACCATGTTCACTTTTCTGCATGTTCAATTTCACTTTTCTGTTCACAATCACAGACATGACAGCAAATTCCTAAAGTGTAGGCTGTGTGAAAAATTATATTGAAATAGACGGATTTGGAATAGCCATAGATAGCCAGCATCAGTAAGGGTGACTAGATAGTTTTCGTTGGTCCTGTGTTTTCCGCCAAAAGCATGTATTGTGATATGCTCACATGGAAAATGTTCTTAGAAAATGAATTATGTTTTTGGACAGACCAAATTAAAAATAGGCCTAATTCATACACGCACAGTATTCTAACAGTATCTGTCAATAAAGGTGCGGACATATCATGTATATTGTCAAATCCCTTTGCATTGGGTTCACAACATCGGATCATAATTCATCAACATGTGGACATGTACAATGTACATGTATGTCTCTACGTGTACACCCACCACAACTTGTAAAAATGTTCTGTGAAAAGAGTCATGCCACTTAGTGTCAACAAGTGTCAATGATCGTCAACAAAAGATCAACAAGTTTTCAAGCAATTTATGCAAAAATCTTACATTTACAGTATTACATAATAAGGATCCTAAAAATCAGATGTATCCACATTTATTACCCAAAATATTTGAAAGTGGAAATTAAAGGAACAAAGTTGGCCCTATTCATCCAGCCCAACCAGCCATCATCTTGTTTCCCCACGGACAGTATAAAAAACAAAGATGGTGGCCCTCTTAAACTGCAAAACTGTTCATTTTTCTGTGAGAATCTGGAAGCAAATTCGCTGTTTCTCTCATATAGTGACAGATGTTAGAGTCTCTTAAATATGATAAAATCACCTTTAAATTGTTACAGGGTATTTTCAAGTTGTTGATGCTTTGTTGATGCTGCTTGTGTGTATTGATGCTTGTTGACGATTGTTGATGCTAAATAGCACGATGGAATATAAATGCTTGAGTGCAGCTAAACATAGTATGACAGCTAAAATTGCAGGCTCTGTACATGTAGATTTTAAGATGTAATTTTTATGCTTTTACTAAGCCAGATTCCACGTCACTTACTGTAGCAGTCAATTTTAACAAGGAAGTGGCTACATATACATGAACTGGCACAGGTCCCAGTTTTGCAAGGCTGTGGATGTGGCAGCAAAAACTTTCCTGTATGTGATATCATCTGCCTCTCGTTTGAAATATAACATTAAAAAATTATAATTTTTGATAGCTTTCAAATTGCCAGAGTGGGGTAGTGGAGAGCAGTGCATACATGTATGGAGTTTTTTCTTTCCCTCAAGTTGTCAGCCTCATAGAGCATCTGGAGAAAGGTCACTACTAATAAATTGGATGCAAGTCTTTTTATTACAGTAATACAATAGTACATGTACCGTACCTGTATAATGTATGTGAACATTAATTACAATTCTGACCTATTTTCATACTACATGTACATGTAATAGTAGTATCATGTTCTTTTCATGCACAGGATAAGAATTACATACACGTACATGTACATGCGCATCTTCTCCATAAATGGAGCTAGTCTGTTGGTTTGCACAGAAGCATTGGCCATTTGACTCACTCATAGAAGTGCATACCATATGCCCATGTACATTTACATTGTAAATAGTTTGTTATCACAAGCCAATTGTGCATTCCAAAATATGCGATTAAAGTGTTGGTTTACATTATTTAGCGGAGCACCATAATATCAATGTGTCACGGAAAAAAGCTAGAAGAATTCCGATAGGTTCCAAAAAGTATGGGATTGGTTTGGAGTTGCTGACTGTGAGACCTTTACCATCCTTGATGATTGGGGAATATACATGTATTTTTACATGCATGTGTTAAGCAAATGGCTTTATCGTCCCGAGTCAATTCGCATAATTCACTGTTCGAATATTTGACCTTCAATCTGATTGAATATCCGAATATTTTGTCATACCGACCGGCAGATTGTTGATGAACAAACCATACAAAAAGTTGCAATGCAGTAACACACACAATTGTACATTATAATCACTATAATAGCTTCAGATATATAACTTCAGCCACGATTTAGCAAGATTTAAGAGATGAACAATACATGTACTTCTTGTCCTGCTGAAAATTTTTTTACTGAATAATTTACTTTTTGAACCGTAAGGTTTCTGTCATGTTTCAGTTGAATCTGCTTGAAACATACCTACAAAGCACAGTTTTTCTCGTTTAAAATGGAAGAAAATCCTTCTTTTTCATGAATTTTGCATTCAAATGTTCAAATTCAGATTATAATGGTAGAATATTCGATACTATTTGATAACTGATCCAATATTCGGATTTGGAACAGCCCTGTGATTTTAGAATAAAATGGAGTACACATGTACATGTACGGTGGTGCTATAAATAAAAACCTGAATCGGCCCAAATTGACTGAGAAACACGTACAATTGTAATTCAAGAAAATCAGTCATCATTATAAAAAACCTATGACAGCTGTCCAAAAAATTGAAGTATTCAGTATATTACACTGAAACAAATACCTTTTTATTCAAAAATTGTACATTTCCCTCTGCGATTCAGTTTTGCATACATACCGGTATATCAATCACAGCATAACATACACGTATCCATGGACCTTTCTAACATTACATCTGTCATTGCAGCTGCTGTCTTGGAATGCAAATCCTCAGCCCATTCATAAATTCAGTATTTGGTATGCTGTTGTCATTGACCGGGTCAGTCCTGATTCATTCATCACTGCAATGCACTAATTGACAACTCTTTTCACATTGACAGTTATAATCTTAAGGATTTTTAAGCATTCTGCCAAAATTTGTAAAGGATGGTTCATTATCAGTTGACCCATCTGCACTTCAAGGTACATTGAAACAGCACTGATCACTAACAGTGTACTGTAACAAATAAGGTACAAATCTAGTCATCCGAAATTTCTTTGGAGGTCATTAGATTTTGTTTTTTAACTTAAAGACATTTTTATTGGCTGTATACATGTACATAGCAAATGTACATACATGTGCCCATCAGCCTGTAATAATTTTTATGAAATTGGTTCTGGCATCAGTTACTTTTTCTGTTAATTTCATGTTGCAGTTAACACTATGGCTATAATTGTCTTCACCTCAGATGGGAACAAAACTTTAACAAATATTATCCCCATCTTACAGGCAGGAAACATCCTTCAAGATGGAATATAAAATGCATGAGTGGAAGTTCATAAAAGTGCTCACAATACATGTAGGACATGTGATTGTACAGTGGGTGTGCAGAGCAGTACTGGTCTAGTAAAAACACTGCTTGTTTCCTGTCAGCTTCCTGTGCTAATGCAGACAGCTAATCTGTTAGCAAACATTGGACTTTTCCTGATGCCTCATTAGTAGTCTATTAGCATCTCCAGAGGTGTTCAGCCTGTGTCTCAGTTTACCTGAGAACCAACTCAGCCTGGCAGGGACACTTTGAGTCGGTTGTCTGATGGTGGAGTCCACAGTCCCCACCAGGGTCTCATGAGTCATACCCTAGGCACTCCCAGCTGGCCAGCATTGTTGACTGTAGAAGGAAAAAAATTCATTCATTGTTCAGTGTACTTTGCAGGTCAGTGAGGGTGAAGTCTGTTTACTGTTGTTCTTCTGTGTAATAACATTCTGGGAAAGGTCATGCCTTGTAGATTAGCTTGGTAAATCCCTGAATGACTTTTCAAACTTATCCAAAATGAAAACTAAATATTTGTGAATTCAAGCAAACATTAAGTTGCTATGCAATTCAGAGTAGAATTAGAAAGGGAATCGGTCAAGTACTAGTAGTCCATTCTGCTCATTCTTTCTATTGTCCATTGTACTTTAAATGTGTCTTCTGTGATTGCCTGTATTTATGTATACACGTTGTGCTTGAACTTGGAATATGACGTCATGTACATAAAATTTGTTCTTAGCATTTCAACATGTATCTGTGCTTGCCAGTGTTGTTGCGTAGTCTCACCATGGAGGAAGGAGGGGACTGCACCAGAAACACTTTTCTAGAGCATAACTACTGTACTGGAACATGCATACATGCTTTAAAGCCTTGTCTCAGGTACAGAAGTTCATATGGCTGAAATGGTCATGTGTCATGTAATGATTGTTTATGGCCTCATGTAGACATTAGCAATCATACAATCTGCATATCGCATGATAAATTCAATTGGAAAGGCACCGTACATATTTGAGTACCTGTGTGGAATATGGTTGTAGGGTACAGATTGCATTCTCCCTGGATCCATACTGCAACTTCTTAGTCTCAAGTCTGGCTGTGATGATTCCATCTCTTGCAGAGTAAGTCACAACCTTTTACCTTTTTGACTTCTTGGCATAATATAACGCAAGTGTTGACAGTTGTAATGTGAGACATGTAACTGTAGTTCCCACTTTCCCCACAGTGATACATGTGACATCTCAGTTTTCACCTTGAATTCCCACGTCCCGTGGGCGTGAAATGGAGTCATGTCCCTCATTGCAGTTGTCAATCACAGGCACATGTATTTGTTAAACGGCAGTCACAATTGGGAAATTCTTATTCCTTTTGTTATGTTCACATAAAAAGACCTGCTACACTGTGCAACATGGCGTGGCGTGTACAGTGTAATCCTTACATATACACATTGCTTGTACATATACATGTATGCATGTTGACACTGTCTGGGCATGAAGGTCAATAAAGCCTCAAGGATTTTTATCCTCTGAAGTGTTTTTGTCATTATTAATGTGACTTGCTTGTACTGTACATGCACATGTATTCCATGCAATTTATCATCAGTTATCGGTATCCCATAAAATACTTCAGTCAGCTTTGAAACTGTACTCAGCAATGTCAGGCTTGTTTGAATGTGCAAGTAGATACATTCGACCCTCGTTATAACAAAGTTGCAGGGACCAGACAAATTATTTTGCAATTAACCATGGCTTTGTTATAAGACGAGTAGAAAAATAAAGAAAAAACATGAAAATTCAAGAAATTGGGATGCTCGAAATTTGTTCTTTTTGACTGTACATGTACCCGGTATGTGCACTCAAATACTGGGCAGTTCTCAAAAATTGACACCATCCAGTTTGGGCCTACATTGTACACCTACACACATACAACATGTACAGTACATTGTATTCATGAGATCATCTTTACATTAGGAAAAAAGTGATGAATTACATCTATTCCATTACTCATGCCTCTGCTGAAGCCTGTGGAAGACACTACATTATTGATCCACTCTAGCAAATTAGCAAATTAAGTTTTTTTGTTTTTTATGTTTCCTTGTTTTGAATTTAATAATTTGTATTTTGTTTTGACCATCGTCCCCGTTGCAATTAATCCAGAGGACACCAAGCCTTTGTTACATACAAATGCATGTCTAGTACTTTGTGTTCAATTTCTTTTCTTGTACTTTGTATATGTGCCAGTACATGTAGTCTGTATGAACTGGTATCCCAGGCAGCCTGGTGGCATATGCACATGTATTACATACTGTACATGCATTCTTAGGGTGTGTAGTTACAGGTAAATTTAGGGACCAGGTACGGTACCTGTTTTTATGACGACATCGGGTACCCGGGTACAGAGAACATTTGGGCCTAATAATAAATAGCACTGCATGCAACTACATTGCGTGAAGTTGAGTTCGCAATGAATTTGCAAGTTCTTAATGCCACCTTATCCCAAAAAAGAAAAAATGCTTTCAGTTTTTGGCCACTAGAAAAAAAAAAATTATAAGTCATTTTGATTAAACACACAATAGATGCAACGTTGTAGGTGAATTCACAACGAATTTGTGTGCTCTTAATACAGCCGATCCGAAATAATGAAAACGTATTCAGTTTTTGGCCATTGAAAAAAAAAAAAAATGTAAAAGTCGTTTTGATTAAACACATATGAAAAAAGCAATTGGAATTACACGTAGTGAGTGACCTATCGCCCTGTAAATTTTTGGCGGTTTTTGGCTCCCATGACTTTAAACAAGGTGTTCTGTCAAATTGCAAATCAGAAATCTGGCAAAAATTTTCTTCTTAATATTTTGTAATAAAATTTGTACAAGAAGCTTACATGTACATCTTACCTTTCAAATACTGGTATAACTTGTTTTAAAATGTAGAACTGAAGAACAGCACAAACGAGGTAGGCTTCTACTTCAAGCAATCCGGAACTAGGATAAATTCGGAACTAGGAAAATAACTGTACATTGTAGTTCAATGGGCAGAGTGGGTAACATAGCTCTGTCCATCTCTGAACCGCTGTTATGACCTTGGGACCAGGTTTTTCAGTGGCAGGGTGATTTTCAGCAGCAATGCTGCCATTCAGTATTAAAGTTCATAGACATTTTACACATGTATTTTTCTTTTTAATTTATTTAGGCCTACTTGTATTTATTCATTTATTTAAAAAAAAAAAAAACTTTTTTTACAGTCACCAGCCTGAAAAAATGGAACTGGGTTTTGATATCGACAGGCGGGTACCTGGATACCTGGCACAGGCATATTCACACTTGCAGTAATGAATTATCCCAGGTCATTAAGGGTCAAGTTACAACAACTGGAACAAGTAAAAAAGTATGTACCATGTGTATGGCTGTGTATAACTGCATTCATTATTTGGTTACTTGGTCAGTCAGTGTGTCCAGTATTTTATTATTTGCATTTTTCTGTTCAATTAATCAAAACCCACCTTGTGAAATAAGTATGGCTAGCACAGAAAATCCATACACATGTACAATGTATGGTACAGTACATGTACATTGTTGAAATTTGGAAAGTGGATAAAATATTGTGAAGATCCTTTGGCAAAATATTTCCTGAGGCTGTGAATACAGACCACTTGTTTGGCAGTGTTGATTTAATGGTACTTGGAAATAAGCTTACATGTATAATTAGTTACCTTATTTTAAACCATTATCATAGCTAACAAAACTTCAGCATCATCCAAGTAGATATGTGCTTTATTTTCATTGTTAAAACAATGTTGTGTGGGATGTGTTATTTGCTCAATGTGTTACTCAGGTATACGTGGGTTATGTATATGTGAAACGCACACACACATACATGTATGCTTTGTGGATGAAACCAGCTGGCAGTGAAATCCCGATAAATTTGCATTTGAAATGAAACATTGCATTTTAGGGCTAACATATGCAAAATATAAAGAAAGAAATGACAATGGATGAAACTCAATTAACCAAAAAATGAAATAAGCCCAAGTGCTGCCAGCCCCATATGTGTGAAATGTTTCTTGACCTAGATTTTTCAAATCAATATTTTGCGACTGGCAGAACATCTGCAGTACATGTCAGTAGTAAATTATGCACAATTTATGCTCAGCATGTATACCAGTAGGCCCAAATATACACTTGTATCTGTGTGTTCCGGTAGTTTCAAAACGCATCACATCACAGGCAGATTAATTACACATGTGTGCTTCACTCCAGTTTTGCTTTGTCATCTTTTGACAATGTTGATTCAAGTTACATGTACCATAGTTGTAACCAATATTTCTCTGGTACATATGTACATTTGCTCATACAAGAATCTTATACCATAGGGCCTACTGTTATCATTAAAATTCCAGTGATACCATACATGTACAGTGAAGGTTATATTTGTGCCCTTTCTCCATTCTGTTCACAAGTCTGAATGGGATTTTTTATATTTGAGTGTTTTGCCTTCATTGTTTAGCAAAGTCTATATTTGAGTTACTGTAAATGTACATGTACATGCCAAGTTTCTTCTACCAATTCTGTTTGCACTTTACAGGTACCCCTTCCCGTACATGTACGTAAATACCGGGTAGAGTTTCCTCTGTATTGTGTGTGTTTTAAATGACTGGGGGAGGGCTTACAGCACAGTTAATGTACATGTACCTGATGAATACTGCGGTACTTGCCAATTGCCTGTACCTTGTAAACACCAAACCTTTGTTTCTCTGAAAAGCAGAACGTTTGACTACGTTCCAGAGAGATAATTCTATGGCACATTGAGCAACAATGACAATCATTACGTACATTTACATGATGTACAGGTACACCTACACTGTATATATGTGTACATGTACATGATTCTACAGGTGCCAGTGCAATGTACATGTACTGTACATATACCGGTAGATCTACATGTACATGAGCACCAGCAATGCACGGTGAACGTGAACAGTACAGGTGGCAGTACATACTGTACCAGGGTACATAATAAATGCATGACATGGATTCAGAAAGACAACCGCTGTACCCGTACATGTACACAAGTTTTTTTCCCACTTTGCACTTACTATCCTATGTTTGTTTATACATTTTACATGTAATACATGTAAAACAGTGTTGCTGACTCATCCATCAAAGTCTGATAGATACCAGGATGAATTATTTATATTTTTATACATGCAAGGCCTTGATCCTTGCCTCATATTGAAAGGTTTTCCACTTTTCTCAATGCAGTCCCACACCTTTTTGTAAGTGTGCCGTGGTCAGGGACACCTACAGTATATGTACAGTATTTCAGTCCTTGTCAGCTGATCACACAATTTGTGCTATACCGTCCACTGGTACATGTGTAACACTTCTTATTGTCCTGGTCTGAATGGTGATTATTGATTATGTGCATTGAGAAGCAGGCGTCTGTTTACTTGTGGCTTTTGTTCCCCATTTTAAAAGGACTGAGAATCTATCAACAGATACAGGCGTTTTTCAGCTTATTCACAGAATTTGAATGACCAGTGGTCCTACATACATGTACGAGAACCTGTAACAAGTACAGTGGTGACCTTAGTGGTGAGGCTGAGCATTTTCATTACGTGTATTACATGCTTTTGAGTTTGCAGTACTTCTGTGTAACAACTGTTGTCCATTGTGACTGTGAGTATGTGAGTGAGTAAACTGAGTATTTGTTCATACCAGTTGGGAAAAGTCTGTGTCCCAAGAGCTTAGTATCACCGACGTGTGTTTTGTCTGTAAGATAGCAGCTCATTCTGTAACATTGCCAGGATGACTCTTAAATTACAGTTTACAAACTCCACATTTTGTGTCATGCCTTTTGCACATTGTGCCTGAGACAGCTGAACTGTATGTACTGCAGTGCTGTATAGAAAAAAATTAAAATGGGGAGCCACTGGCTTAACTCGGGTACCTACATGTAGAGTACCTGTACGTGCATGTACATGTATATGCAAGCTATGTTGCAGTTTAACATGGACTCATGCTGTGTGCATAGTAAGACAGAGAAAAATGGCATGATCGATCAGAAAGACATGTCGCTACATGTAAGTGCACATAGAAGAAAACTGGACAGCTGTCATTTGTAAC